GCTAGGCTTTCGAATTCCAGCAATAGTTGAAATAAAATTTGATTAACAATTAATAAATATCGACTGTCACTTAGCACTTACACCCTACAACACTTCTGACGCAAGGGCATATTATGTTTGCGCGGATGTGTACAACACTAAGAAGGATCACATTCTGAATCCATTTAAGCTTATCTGTCCCTCCATACTCAGAACAACACTCCGAAGAATCACATTCTGAATCCATTTAAGCTTGTCTGTCCCTCCGTTCTCCTCATATTCTTGTGTGTTCAACCTACACGTTAAAATTAGTACATCGATCCATTTGGGAATAAGGACGAACGCTTTTAAAAACTGTTCGGATTGGATCACTTTTTCGATCACTTCACCTATAACGCACTATTCTAAAAGGAACAACAAGCAAAGGCTTTTAGGGTTGTTGCTAGTGGAACCTGGCCTGGTTTTAAAATTTGAAACAATTTTCCTTCACTTGCCATCATTAAGTGTCGTCACACATTTCTTAATAAGCAAATGGTCAAGTAATAAATAGATTCATTGAGAAAGTTCAATAACTTAACCAATAGCTTAAAGGCTAATAAGAAAAATTTCAATCTATTTTTAGTCCTTATAAAGCAATTTAATGAACTCGTGTTTCACTTTTTACCTAATAACCCTAATAATACACATCAATAATCCGTAAAAACCATAGCTACCATCCTCCACGTGTTTCTTGCGTTCCAGACTATTTATAGTGTCTACTCAAACATAGCTTGGGTAAGAACTTATCGCAAACAATTCAAAACTAATACGAATCGTGTGAATGAGAAAGGCTTTCCTTTGTTTGCTCCACGCTTCTCTTCTCCTCGTTCGCGGTTTCTGCTCACTCTCAGTCTCACTTTATAGTATATGCGGTACATAGAAACGACACGGTAAATCCTCTCCCTTCGATCCTTTGGCTGCAAATAGGCAGAAAGACTTTCTTGCTTTTTAAAGTCTAGCTAACTGCGATATCGTGATCTATTGACATTTCGCGTCCTGTCTTTTAGAATTGACTTTTAAAGGAGATCTAAAACTTCACTCATCCAATTAAAATTTCCCTTATATTATGTAATATTGAAAATTTGCATTGAAAGAAGAAAACCAAGAAAACGACATTGTCTTTGGAATATTGAAAATTGCAGAGGTATATATATATATATAGAGCAGAGAGAAAATTAAATTATTTTTTCTTATAATATTTATATAAATTTTATATGAATGAAAAGTTTTGTAAACTTTATAAGGAAAGTATTTTAAATTTGTTGTTGCTTTTTTTAACTTCATTCGCTCTTGCATCTAGAGTTTCTTTTTTAAAGAACGTCATGACTTCATGTATTGATCCAGTCAATCGATGCAGGAGTTGTTTTAGAGACCGAAGAATTTCTCTACGTGGAGGCAAATGCTCGAATCTACGTAATTATAATTGAATTAATATACAGATCAAGGTAAGTGATATGCGAAATGCGAAATGATGACTGACAATTTTATGAGCATATGAGTTAAATTCCGCACTTGTACAGGATCTTAGTTTGCTTTGATGCTTCGAAACAATCTTATGTTCACACCGATGTACAGAGGTACGTGTCTATGGACTAGGGACTGGATGTAGGAAACAATGCATGAATGTGGATACGGCGTATAATCGACCTGCAAAACTTTTTTAAGAATCTATATATAAACCTCTCTACAAACTGCAGACTTTGGGTTGCAGCCTTTTTGCTTAATCTTTTTGCAAAATGTGTCGACTTACTTATGACTTATAATGTAGGATGTCTAACGCGACAGATTGAATAATTTACAAATTGATATGCGGACGTCATACAATAAACAAATCATTGTAAAATTCAATATATTGTGCACGGACTTGCATACGTTCATCCGATCGACAAACAACGTGACGTGCAAACCTGCTTACGGCGTTCATGTAGAAATCGACGTATCAGTCGGTTGAACGATTAGCGAATGAATCGAGATGTCGTTACGATCAACGACACGCATGGAATGACTTACGAACTAATGTATGAATGTATGTACAATTTTATGAATTGACCTTCGTACGGGTCATCCATCGTTGGCCGATCTTCAATCTTGCTTTATATGCATATGTGCATATAAGTTTATACTTAAGGCTTAAGATACTTTGTATGATACGGACCGCCAAGCGATATGCACAGGAACACATGCTAAACGTCATACATACAACTGATAAATCATCATAGGGTCTCTCATACGTAATACCCGAAAAGTCAGCGTATCTATATACAAACTTACAGATCAAAGTTCTACATACGGTACTTGATTAAGGAGTTAAGCAAAAAATTTCAAATTCGATGCGCAAACCGATATACGTGTCAAAAGTGTTATAAGCGGTATAGCTAAAGCATTCTATCGCTTTCATTGGGAAATTTTTTAAAGAAACCTTAACCTAACTCGCTCGCTCGTGACCTAAAAGAAGAACAGTTTGATCTACGAAATAAATAAAATTGTCACAATATGCACATTTCTTAGCATATATATGCATGTGGTTGCGTGTCAATCTGAAAATCATTGATACGATATATGTATAATTGACACTTTCCAAAATACTATAATTATTATATCTATGTTGACATAATAAATTATATGACTTTCGCCACCAATATATCAATATATGATCGCTTGCTCTTCATGCAATGATTTATGGGTCTTTTGCACTCAATTTTCAATATATTTGTCATTTAATGGAAAATTCGCAAGCAGAAAATGTGGGTTTTTTAAATAAATTTTAAGTTTTACGCAAACCCACAACGATACAAACTTAAGCGAAACAGCTGTACATACATAAATTTATAAAAGGAAATTTTTGATGTGGGTTTATTAAAAAATCAAAAAACAAAAAAAAAACAAAAAAAAAAAAATCAGGCTAAAGCTTTCACTTGGTCAACAATTGTGTGAACATAATCAAATTATTTACTTGCCGTATGCACCGTCGTAGTGCTAGGCAAGATTTAAAAAGTGGTTAAAGACTTTTTCCTTTAGAAAATTATATGCAATTCTTTGTATACGCGAATAGTAACAATAATGGAAAATCACCAGCCTACGCTCTTGAAAAAAAAAAGCAGAAAAAATAGAAAAAAAAAAAAATAAAGAAACCAAACCATTGAAGCAACATTAAAAACTAATGCTTTTCATACAACTAACTACTCATGTATACATGTATATATACATATATACATATATACATATATATATATGTATGGTATATAAAAGCATAGAAATACAATAAAAAAAGGCAACAAGCATGTTAAAACTGTATATATATATATATATATGTATATATGTATATATGAATATATATATATATATATATATATATATATATGTATCTATATGTATATATACATATGTATGTGTATGGTTGTGTGTTTACTATACCTCATGGCCAAGTTCAGTACGATCATTATAGATCATTTCTCAAAAAGAGCGCTTAAATTGTGTTTATATAGCAAAAGCCACAACGACAACAATAACAACAACAACAATAATAATAATAACAGCGACGCTAGATCGTAAATAATTTGCTGCAATTTTGGATTTACTTAAGACAATCGAAGGCAACAATTTGCCATTTATTGCAACTAAACAATCAAATTCATTTACCTAAACTCCCTTTCATACATATAGATAGATAGATAGATAGATAGATTTATGTGTATGTGTATGAAAAAATAATAAAATCAAATTATTTAATCAATCATTCAACTGTATGCTAGCTATGTTACTTGATAGCTGTGCAATCCTAACAATCAATCGTTTTAACGCTTCGATTGATCGTTTCCATTCGATCGCCACTCGCTCATTCGATAGCTCGCACGCTCGATCCTACTACACACAATTGTTGTTTGTTTGGCTTGGGTGTTATCTTACGAAATTGTTTTTACGATCATGCATGATTACCCACTATCTTAATGGCAATTTTCCATGCTCTTAAAGCGAAACTAGCTACTGTTGCCCATAGACTCTCTAGCGAACATATATCAAATCGTTTTTAAATGTACAACACGTTTTTGATTTTTTTTTTGTTTTTTTTTTTATTGTTGTTTTTTTTTTTTTTGTGTTTTTAAACATATACCACTAGGTCATCGTCATTATCGCAATATTATTGTTATTATTATTATTATTACTAAACACATTTTCGCTACAATTTTATTCGTTTCGTCAACATCGTGCCAACAGTTAGTGCTGATAGGCATTAGGAGATCACAGTCTCGCAGTAAAAGTCCTTCAAAGGATTCGTTGGGTATTTCCTCAGCTTTTCCTCTGATTTATTTACATAAAAATTTCATAAAAAACGATTCTTTTCATAGACGTTTTGTAAATACGTGTACATACACATAATGTAATCCATCGTTATCCATATAATAATTAATATGAAAACAATAAATAGTATTTTATATGAAATAAATGAAAACTTTTACAAAAAAGGAAAAACATGGTCTCCTTGAATGCATAAATATTATTATTACATAATTACACAAAAATAATTCAATTTAATTAATTTACACGCACACACACATACACACATATATATATATATATATATATATATATATACATACAGCCACACATATCGCACAAATCAATACTTTGTTTGTATGTTAAAAACCAAATAATATAATAAAAAAACAAAAAAAAATAATAATAATAATAATAATAAAAGTTTAAAAGTTAATTAATAATATTTATTATTATTGTTGTTTGTAAATATTATATTAATTGTTATGATGTTCGCTCTCTTCTCAATGTTATTAATCTTTGTTTAAATATATATAATTAACTATAATATTTCTCATTTCTATTATTACTTCTCTTAGCTCAGTCAAAGTTAATTTAATAGACGTTTTTTTTTTTTTTTCTCTTTTCCAATTTCTTATTTGTTATTTCTTTCCCGCGTCTAAAACCCTTCTTTCTCCCCGCCTCCCAACCAAACTAAAACTTGAAAGCTTTCGATATTGATGGTGTGGAAGAGTTATCGGAACCATCAGACGATGAAATTAAAGAAGGCCAATGGCTAGGCGTTACCGTGAGGTCACAAGGCTTAGGTAGTAAGGTAAGTTTGCTTTTCATCATATCCCGCTAATAAGTGAACATAGAAAACAAATAAGAAAATTATATTCGGCTGGCGCTGAATCTCTTTTATAGCCACCGCTCTTCATTTCTCACGCTTCGCTACGGTGGTGTTAAAAAGTTGTAAAAGTTTTAGGTAAATTGCTAGCAAATTGTATTTAAGTTACCAGATTCTAGTCTCCTGCTATCATCGATGGTAACGCTTAAATAAATTATGTGACTTTTAAATCAATTTTTTTTTTTTTTTTTTTTTTTTTGCCTACTTTATATAAGACAATTTTATTGTTTACCTAAGTGATAAAAATTTTCAAAACATTTAGTATAAAATATTTTTTAAATTGTGTCGCGTACAAAAAATATGGATTGTGCGTAGAATCGTCGAATGTACAGAAATTTTAGATCGTCGGCCAAATAAATGCTTAATTTTGCGAAAAGGAGACAGGATCCAATCATCGGAGTGCTTATTCAATATTGATTAGGATAATGGACATCGAACTATGGACTGTATATATATATATGTATATATATATATATATATATGTATATATATATATATATATATATATATATATGTAGAATTCAAGCCTACATGTATTATTTACTTAGCAATGCCACCCACATTCAAAGCGAACTTGGGAAAAATTTCAGTTCAGAAATACAGCGTTACAAAGTAACAAAAGTGACAAAATCCAAAATATTATACTCTTAGGTGTATTTAACATCCGCCGCAGATTGACAGATAATGCGACCGAAGCATGCTATAAAATAATAACTTGCTTACTTTGGATCAGATTAAAATCTTATTCGATACCGATATCGAGGGAACTGTTAATCCAACAAGTTGTGACTTCCATCGTAATTCATTCAAAATTCGCGCACGTCTTACTTATTCTATTTTACTCGGTAAACTTCCTTTATTTGATGCCCAATCGATTGTACTGTTAAAAGAAAACGTAGCTGCCTCGTTCTACATTTTTGTTTTAAAATAAACGCATTTTTTGTACATCTTCATACGAAGAATGTACAGAATAATTTCCAACAATTTGTCTTGCTCACCTTGAGTGTGAGTAATAACTAGAAAACGCCAAAGCAAAACGAAAATGCAACCGGTTTTTTGTTTTTTTTTTTTTTTTCACTTTTAAGCACGAATAATAGGCGTCCGCGTAAAAGTAAATTTACAAAATTTCAATTTTTTATCTTTCATAGCTTATGCGTATTGAGCAGAAAGAAAGTTACGTTCAGTTTATGCTTTACAACGGGGCGCGTCCTTAAACAAATTTGTCCTTTTTTTTTAATACCAATCTGCGTCTGCAAGAGCGTCTATCCAAGCCGTTATCTTCATTTTTACGGCCAACAGAATGCCAGCGATTTGCCTTAGATTTTACGCAAACGGACAGACGAACATGATTATATCGATTCAGAATATGATGGTATATATGTATGACTTATGAGATTTTGAAATCTTAATTCTGGATTTTGCAAGCACTTCGACAAAGTGAATACGATTAAAACCAATGAGTTTTGCCAGTCGATCTCTTAACAAATACGAAGTTTGTATTCTGTCGTCACAGATTAACTTTCATACCCATCACCGTTATCCTAAGAAAAATCAAAAAAAAAAAATAAATAAATTTCCTTGGTCTATAATATAGAGTAGGCGTGGTTGATTTTTTCTATTTTCGAAATTAAAGTATTTTTATGGGCGTCGTAGACGTGTCTTTTGAAAAGTTTAGCTCGTTTCCAAATCCTTTAGCATTTTTGCGATCGGGAATTACGTAAACGGACAGATGGCTGTCCATAAACTTCGAATTTGACTTTATGTAGTTGGTGCGGTTTTTGAATCTTGCTTTCGTACGTTGTAATGGTTTTAAAAAAAAAAAAAATTTAACTTATTACACGATATAAAATTAAATAGGCGTGGCCGTTTTTTTTCCATTTTCTTAGACATACTATGTACATTTTTCTATTATAACTTATGGGTGGCGATTGGTAAATTGGTAAAAACCAATTCTTCCTTTCAATTGCTTCTAAAAAAGGAAGCTGCTCTCAGTTTACATCGTATAGTGGGCATATATTTCGATCGATTTCGCCCATTTGATTTAATTTTTGTATAGTTTTCATAAAATTCTGTTATTCATATTTTTTTGATTTTCTTTCTTTTAGGTTTTAGTATGCGCTCATCGTTATATAACTAAAGTGCGTGAAAATCGTTATGGCCAAGGTCTGTGCTATGTGCTAACCAACGAATTAGGCCTTGAGGAAGTTTATGAGCCATGCAAAGGTCGCACAGTTCAAAGGTATTTCTTAATATTTCTTTAATTTGTTCATTTATTCATACCATAACGTCAAGTCATCGTTCTTCATACCTAGAGAGATATAAAATCGATTATACTCAAATCTAACATAGATCAAATATTTCGTTAATCTGAAATTATTCTTCATGAATTGCGAGCCTTTAAATACAATTCCTATAGCTAATCATAACTTTGCTATATTGCGTGAATTATAAGAGGAATTGAATACCGACCCAACAATAACAATAAATCAAAAGTTCATATAGGATTTCAATCGCAATTCGCATTTCGTAATCTTTATGCTTTTTAATCCCGCTCATGACCAAGAGAAATTGTATCGCATCAGCAGAAAACTTAATGGCCCGGATTATCTAAATCGCTATTCATCCTAAACTATTAACCGAGACTTGTATAAATCAAGTCTCTGAACCATCGTTTTTAAGCTCTGTTTGACATTTTTTTTTTCTTCTTAACTACCATCTCTTAGTTTTTATTATGATAATTGCTAACTTGCTTACTTCCTACCTTTTAACCTGATAATTCCTAGAAACTTGCTTTATTTTGCTTTGAGAGAGACAACCTCACGTTAATATAATATTTCGCCCAAAAAGAAAAACAACGCTTGGCAATTGCTTTCTAATGGAGGGAGAGAAAGACGATAGAATTGTAATATATATGAAGAGAGATCTCTAAGCATATATCCAAGTATAGAAAATATATATATATATATTTTTGAAAATTATTAAAAATTCCTAAGACAAGGCAGTTAGCTATTCTCATCGGGACTACCCGGCATGCAATGTGAAAGGGGAGAGAGAGAGTTTGTGTTTAAAGGTGAATCTAAGAAAAAAACCACTTACTCCACTTGCCTGTAGCTATATAGAGAGGCATGTGGCACTATTAAAAAAAAAAACGTATTTATTCGTGTTCGATTTGTGAATACTTGAGCGTTCAAAAAATATGCTCACAACTTATGCTGTGAGTTTTTTTAAAAAAATTTCAAAATTTTGCACATTTGCTATAGACATGTTTTTGACATAACAAATTCTTTATTATTTTTTGTCGAACTGTCTGCCATCTCAGGATAATCAAAACACTCTCAAAACAAGCTCATCGAATAATTTTCTTCACATAACTTACACTTCACGACAGAAAATATACTAAATATTCTAAAGACTTTTTCCGCCTCAATCGAGCTACACTTAATCCGCAAGAGTAGCCTAATAGATAAGAATCGCAACTGCGAAGCCAGTGGTCGCGGCTTCAAATCTCAATGCGACAGAGTACACCATGGTCGATGAGCGCTCAATCAGTAAAGGCATAGCACGTCGCGATTGGTTGCGGCCACCTACCTATCTCTTTCCCTTTCTTCACTTCTTTCCAACAATTCCCGTCATGCTTGAGTGGAGAAAAAATACTATCTTAAGATATCTCTTAGAGTTTTAAAGAAATTAGAAATCAACCAGTCTGCCGACATTAGGCAATAACTTCCCAACTATTAGTTATTTAACATAGACACACTTCTCGGGATGAGCTTGAAAAACTTTTTGCAGCTAATGAAGCCTCTTTTAAGCCAGCAAAAAAAAAGAAAAAATCCTTAATTCATATATTTCTTATAAACCTTATTAACGGTCAACGCGGATTCGCAAGATTTTCCCGGGCGATCTTAAACTATGCTCACCCCTATATTAACAACTTCAACGTATTCGAGCAAAAATATAAATAACTTTAAATTTAACTTTCCTTTTATTTTTTTTTAATATTTTCGAAAATTGTGTCAAGGATTTTTTCATTAAGTAACTTAGCTGCAACAAAGGCGTGTTTGTCAGCAGGGTTGGTAACAAACAATGAAAAAAAAAAAAAACCTTCCATTTGTTAATACCTGCCAGGGAAATATATTAAACACATTGAATGGTTTGTAGCATATAAATACAGTTAAGGCCATCAAGCAAATATTCTTACAAGTTAAAAATGTTTCTTTGTTTGTATAATTGATGCGATTCTTCAAGTTGAGAAATGATATAAACATGAAGCTTCCTTAGTAGCAGTAGTTGAAAATCTCAAAGAAAATTGACAACAATCTTGATTACACAACAGCATCTATGGAGTGATCTATGATATATGAATAAATAATAGCCACGATCTTCAATCTGCCTGGAAGCATCTCCCTTCTTTTTTATTTTTCATTTTATCTCCTTTTATACCTCTAAACAATTTCTCAAGACAAGCGGATTAAAGTCGATCGAGTTGAAAGGGGATGAAATGCGAAAGAAAAGTTTGCTTTCATTTCCCAGGAGAACTTTTATGTCTTCGATGGTTTAACGTGGGTAGACTGCCTTGACGGTTTAACTTCACGGTGCCCGATGACACACGGGTTAGTTTTGCGTAACCGGCGCCCTTCCTATAAGATAGGTTCGTAAACTGCACTGGAGAAACCAGATATGTTTATTATGTATGGCTCAATAAATGCACTCTGGGAAGTCTTAAGGCCTATCTATCATTACCTCTAATCATTCGCTTTAGGAATGATAGAAACCATAACCACTACTATAACCCCCTGAAGGCCCCTATCCAGCAGTCAGGACTCACCCATTGGTTAACTGCTGCCTTTAAACTGGGGACTCGACATACTAGCTTCCACCGCAGTTTCCACATGTATGTAAATATGCAAGCTTCCGACCGGAGAGCGATTGGCAAGCACCAATCTGCAGCACACCAATGCTGTCGTCTCCAGGCGCATGTACTCTTGACATAGTGAATAGCCACCTAGGCCCCGTGCAGCTTAAAGTTCGATCTCAGGACAACTCAAAAATCTTACATGCACGTCACTACTTTCGTCTCCGATAAGGAGATTAGCTTCACTTAGGATAAACACAATATTCGAACATAGCTTTATGTAATTTCGTCCTTACCGTCAAAGTTAAAGTGATGTGAAGTTTACAATTAACCGAAAGAGATCTCATGAGAGTGTAAACAACTGCGTGACAAACTTTAATTTATTTATAGAATATGCGAAAAAAACGTAAACTTATCTAAATTAGCGTAAAGCAAAGATAAACGTTTGCTGTTCGTGGAAAAAAGTAATTAAGAAAAGTTAACATTCCTTACAAATTTAACTGCCGGAATGTAGAGCGCATTTAAATAAAATATAAAAAATTATTAAGGAAATGAAAAAAAATTAAAAAAAAAATTTTATTTTATACCTTTTCAGAGCCCACGAGGATTATGGCTTTTGTCAAGTGGGCACTTCTGGTGCGTTATTGGATGATAATACAATGGTTTTGGGTACGCCAGGACCATTTACTTGGCGTGGCACCGTATTTGTTACCGAAATTGGCGGGGAGTACTTGGAGAGAGACAAGAATATGTACTATGGTGATCATTCGGATAATACGTCACCGGTTGATAAGTACAGTTATTTAGGTATGGCAGTGACAGGAGGTCGTTATTTTAGCGATCGCATGTCTTACGCCGCAGGTGCACCCCGCTCCAATGGCCACGGTCAAGTGGTGATATTTAATAAAGCTAACACTAATCCCATACCGGTAGAAATGATTATAGAAGGCGAACAATTTGCTTCAAGTTTTGGTTATGAATTAACCACGGCCGACGTTAATGGCGACCAAAAACCTGATCTCATAGTTGCTGCTCCCTTTTATTTTATGAAAATGGAAGGCGGTGCTGTCTACATTTATCAGAATACCGATGATCAGTTGCCGGCAAGGCCAACTTTAAAATTAACAGGCACTTTTGAAAGTCGTTTCGGTTCTGCATTGGCGAATATCGGTGATATTAATAAAGACAATTGCGAGGATTTGGCAATAGGCGCGCCTTATGAAGACGACGGAGTAGTTTATATTTTCTTAGGCAGCAGCGATGGTCTTCTAAGTAAACCGGCGCAGAGAATACAAGCATCAGATTTAGGTTTATTACCAAAAGCCATTAAGACATTCGGCAGTTCTATAGCGGGCGGTACCGATTTAGATGGCAATTCCTATCCCGATGTAGTAATAGGGGCCTACAATTCGTCAGCCGTAATCGCTTTATTGGCTCGTCCTATTATAAGCATACAAACTCGTGCGCGTAGCAATGAAGTAAAAAATATTGATCCAACTAAGCAAGGTTGTATTACCGATGCCTTTACTAATTTGACTTGTTTCACTTTTGAGGCTTGCTGTTCGATCGACCCGTTAGAACAGACTTCAGCTAACAAAAACTTAAGATTAATGTATACCGTAGAGGCAGAGACATTCGCGGGTAATAAGAAATTCTCTCGAGTTTTCTTCGATCGCGATAATAAGCGCAGTAACGTTATTAAACGTGAAGTGACTGTACTTACTGATGGCCGCTTGTCTTGTCAGCGAGTAACCGCTTATATAAAAGAAAATACCCGCGATATACAAAGTCCTCTAAAGTTCAGATTAAATTATACTTTGGTAGAAACGCGTTTACCGGATTCTGGTCTAAAATTTTTAAACCCCATACTCGATCAGACGCAAGCGAAAGTTGAATTTGAGGGAACGTTCCAAAAAGATTGCGGCGAAGATGATACATGTGAAAGTAATTTACGTCTCGACGCAGAATTAGATCTGAACATGGAAAGTAAGCGAAGAAAATCAAAAAAACAAAAAAAAAAACAAAAAAAATGATAAAAAAAAAATTCCCTCCTTTCAGATGAAAATTATGCTTTAATATTAGGCGAACAAGAAGAGATACGGGTCAACATCAATGTAGAAAACACGGCAGATTCCGCTTATGAAGCGCAATTGTTTATAGTGCATCAAAAGAGCGTCGAATACATAGCAGCAATAAAAACGGTACGTTCTCGATTTGAATTCAAAAAAATTGAAAATTTTCAATGGCTTTGCCTCTCGTAATTAATAGAATTCGGCTATTTGTAATCGTTTCAACGACACCGTGGTAGCCTGTAGTTTGGGCAATCCTATGCGTCGTGGCTCGGCGGCTCAATTGTCTGTGCGTTTTGATCCTAGCGGCTTGGAACTGGATGAACGGAAGCTAACGTTTGACATCTTCGCGAACACCACCTCAAATTTGACAGCCTTTGATGGAAGAGAGCCACGGGTCGAGCTGGATGTTCACGTAGTTAAAAGAGCTGAATTAAGCTTACAAGGTTGGGCTAGACCCGAGCAAAGCTTCTATAGCGGTGAAGTGCGCTTAGATAACGCTATGATGCAAATGGAAGATGTTGGCTCACAGCTAATGCATACTTATCAAGTGAGTATTAGAAGCGTTAAAAAATTGCCCATATTAAATGTTAATATTTTCTTACCTCAGATCTATAATGAAGGACCCTGGAAAGCTCCGAAAGTCCAATTGACAATATATTGGCCTCATCAGATATATAGCGAACAGGATACACGTGCGAAATGGTTATTGTATTTGGAAGAGATACCCATTATCGAGAATATCAAAGAAGGCGAATGTTTTGTTGCGGCCCAATATGTTAATCCCTTAAAATTGATCAGCAAATATAAATCAAATTTTATGGCAAACGAACTTCTATTGGGCCCTGCTCCTTATATGATGCGACCCTTGGCTAATAAAACCCATTTCCCCCATCGAACTTTTTCCCATTATGAAAAAATGGCTTACACGAGCAGTAAGCAACAGCAGTCACATCATCGCATATCTGACGATTCATCCATTTTGAATCGTTTGCCGCGTGACACTTTAACACGTATTATAAGACCCGAACGATTTATGGACTTTCGTGAGAATAAAAATAAGAAACGTGATATTGTCGAATTAGATTGCAATAAAGCGACGGCATATTGCATAAAAATATTATGTGAATTTTATAACATGCCCGCCAATACGGAGGCGTATGTGCATGTTAAGGCCAGGCTGTGGAATTCAACGTTAGTTTCGGAACATCCAAGAGCTGATGCAGTGCGCATTATATCGACAGCTAAAGTCCAAATACCAATAGAATTTCGCGTTGAGCAAGCGCATGCCACCGAACAATTGTTGGTAAGTTGAAAATGTTTGATTTTAATATAATTCTTCCGATCATACGATATGTAAAAAATTGCATAACGCAGGTTGAAACACGCGCCTATCCTGAATTATTGGATCCTCAACGTGACACAACCACTCCCTTATGGATTATTATATTAGCGATAATTGGAGGATTACTCTTGTTGGCTTTGTTCACGTATGCTATGTGGCGTTGCGGCTTCTTTAAACGAAGAAGACCAGATCCCACACTGAGTGGTAATCTCGAGAAGATGAATGAGGAGAAGCCATTCCTTAATTCAAAAAACAATCATCGTGTTTTCTAACAACAAGGTACGGTAGGGTGGGATTTGGCTTTACGTCAACAACAGCATCAAAATCTCAAAAACACTAAAGTCAAACCGCCTAGAAAATGTTTTTATAAATTTAAAAGTGATATCGATTGGCTGGACTGGCAACAAATGCAATTATTTAATAATCATTACAATAATAACAACAATTCTAACAATTATAATTTAAATCAATATTCGAGTGTTATCGATTGGGGTTTTATGGCTAAACGTTAACAAACAAAACGAAAACAACTCAAACACAAACAAGCGCGAACCAGAACCATTAATATTATTTCCTAGTGCCATTATTTCTTTATAACGGTTTTTATACTTAAAATGTAGTCTTATTTTATTTAAATATTTCTCTTTTGTGTAGCATACTTTAAGTGTTTACGAAATTAGTATAATTTTAATAAGACGAAGAAAAATGTTGCAAAAATATAAAAAACGCATATTAAAAAAAAAAAAAAAATTAACAAAAAAAAATGAAAAAAAAATAAAAAAACCATTCGAATATCACTGAAAAAAAAAAGAACAACCGCAACGATCTTGTACATATATACATTTATTTTATACATATGTGAAACCTCAACTAAGTAATAACAATAGATGTCTTCAAAATGATATTTTCAATGTTTTTTTTTTTTTTTTTTTTTTTTTTAATTTATCCTTTAAGTCTGTCAAATATTTGTAAAGCATAAGGAGGTACACATCAAAGACCCCATTTCATTTACATCAATTCTCCAAATCCGAATGTCACGATCACTATTCTTCACACTTTCGCAAGAACATCAAACTTGCTCTTAAACTCACTTGAGCTATGGATTACGATCAGCTCAACTTGGAACAGCATTTGAAAATGTTATAACTACGCTTTAGTATTGGTAGTGACATAGTATGTCATGCTTCCGACCATCGGCACATATTTACCTCTTTCTCTTTTATACATACAAAAGTTATACATACTTGCAATGCCGTAGTATTCGCCCATAAACTTTGTCACTTTGTTCGGCTGAGATTTTGTAAATATGTACTTGATATTGTATTGAACACTGCATGTCTTTGGTTAGCCAAGAGAAGCCATCATAAAACCAAGCATAAATTACTATAAAATTACTAATAGAAACCTTATCTCATTATTTACCAGAGAACCTGAAAAGCAAAAATTTGATCTGAATTTGATACTTGCTCTCTTCCAGGAGGAATTGGCAATAGATCAAAACTTTGCCGAACTTCAAAATTCAAAAATTCACATTTTAAAACTTTTCTCGCACTCTCATTCATCATTTACAATGGAATGCTAATGAATGAATCTAATAAGTAGACAAACACCTTAGATGGACAGAAAGCAACACTTAAAAACGAAAGGAAAATTTCTTTACAATAAAAATCTGCCGGTCCTTTTTTAAACGAATATCATGCAGCTCACTGCATGTCACTAATAATATTGCGTAGTCCAGAAATTTCTAGCGGTTTTTCACTATATTTATTTTTATATATAAGGAATAAACTTGTTGTTAAATATATGTCAGTCAACTTCAATCATAATCTTTAGTTAGATGTTATCAATGGCATTTGGCCAAGCAGGACGCGATAAAGCTTTCACATATGTACACATATATAATATATATGGTCACTTTGATCTTTCAAATCAAATTCACCACGTCCAACGACTACTATAACACAACCGATCACTTTGAAAGAATTTTTGCAAAACAAGCATAAGCCTGGTCTACCCAGGTATATGTATATGTACCTTTAAACGTAATTATTTTTTGAGCTATATGAAAAAGGTAGCAAGAAAAACCGCAAAAAATTTCCAGACTACCTAATAATTTCTATACAATTATTATAATAAATGCAAATTCGAAAGTATTATTGATATCATTGAGAAAACAAAAAAAAGCAAACACTCCACTTCAAGAACAACAATAGTACACATATTTTTTACTTCACTATATTAAAAATAAAAATAAAAAAGAAAACAAGATATTAATTAGTTTCAATACATTCATGTATAATTTTACATATTGTAAATATATATATTTTTCTCATTATTTGTATTTTAAATTTATTTATATTTTCAGTAATTTTAATTATTGTACAGCGTAATATTCACAATAAGATTTTATAGGTTGTACATTATTTATTCTTAGATTCTTTTACACAAAGCATGAAAAAAAAGAAAAATTAAAATTTCCTCTTTGTTATGAAAATAATTTCATTATTATTTTTAAGAAAATTTGTTTTAAGCTTTAGCGTTTCTTTTTTTAACTACTCTAATATTCTATTTAGAGTATAAAAACAAAAATATTAAATATTATTAAAAAAAAAAAAAAAAAAAAAAAAAAAAAAAAAAAAA